AAGGAAGGAAGGAAGGAAGGAAGGAAGGAAGGAAGGAAGGAAGGAAGGAAAGAAGGAAGGAAGGAAGACACAATGAACTTTAGTAAAACTTTTCCCTTGACTGAGGAGTAACTTTAAGTCTGGGAATGTTGCTCAGGTGGGAGAATGCTTACATGCCTCAAATGCACACAGCCCTGGGTTCCATCCCCAGTGTTCAATAATCAGAAGCAATCTGAATGTGCTTGGAGGATTACTCTAGGCTACAAAGCAAATTTCAAAAAGCATGGTCTACATGAGACTTTATCCCATTAAAGAAAGAAATCAATAAAAGACGGAACTTCAAACATAAAAACAATTAACAAGTCAAACTAAAGGGAATCCTTTCGTTTCAGTAAGAGCTTCTGAAATCCAGAAAGTAGCTTTCAAGACAGTTTATTTTATCTGGTTAAGATCAATATCTACACAGCAGATCTGATTTCAAGAGGAGTTCTCTGGGAATTAATGGGTATCGGCAAAGCACTCTAAGCAGCAACATTAACTATTTTCTCCACCCGGTCCCACCTCCAGTTGTAGGGGCAAAAGTAAAATCAGACAGGTCTGTATGTTCAAAGACGAAATGTTTTTCAGACCCCAAGCATGAGAGGGCAACCCTCCTACCTTTAGTTTTTGAAGTTCCCAAACACACAAGGGAACAGAGACGAGGATTGCAATGATGCAAACAACTACAATCAGGGGTCGCATCCACCGCCTCCAATATTTCTGGGTACAGACGCAGCATATTTTGAACAAATTAGTGTTGCACAAGTCAAAAAATGAACCAAACGGAGATTTTGGTGCGTTCTCTTTTTCTTTCTTTTTCTCCTCTGGCTCTCTACAAGGGAAAATTCAGCAGCCACTGGCATTGCGTCCTCGGGTCGCACTGTGGTTCCGACTGCCGCAAGGCGACAACTCGGGATGCTTGCAGATGCGGGCTGCATACTCGCCAGCTAACCGGCATGCACCCGGTCCTCAGCGGCGCAGTAGCAGCTCACTAGGGTAGCCAAAAGTGTTGGCTGCATCATGGCCCCGAGGACAGCCGGGGTGACCTGGGGGGTGCCACCTGTCGCTGGAAGCCAGCCACTCCCTCCCCGCTGCTCTGGCAGGCGAGTCTCCGCCCCTTGAAGACCAGGCCCTTGACTCCCTCACTCACGCTTCCGGAACTTCCACAATAGTGGAATTCATCTTCCATAGAAATGAGTCCGCTTCCGTTTCGGATGCCAAAGCCAATGACCGGCAGGGAGCTTCAAGGTAGGCAAACCCTTTCAGGTAACATCAAGTCTTTATGACTGACTGGTCAGCTACAGAGGAAGGGCGTGAGTGTAACCTAGGTTACCGGAGGCTGGGAGGAGGGATGCAGGGGATGGTAGAGGAGGGCTAGTGGTTTAGCTGACTTGGTGGAGCCTGAGTGGGGTTGTAGGAACTGAGACCCTTTCAGAAACACCTTCTTCATTCTTTAGACTTTATTCCACCTAACGGAAAGTTTTAGTGAACACTGTGGAGCGAACTTGAGACAGCCTTTTTCCCAGACGGCTCTCCAGTTGTCTTTAGGGAAACCAGCTGGAAAAAGACAGACTAGAAAACTTTCACTTGGATTTTAGTCAGTTACTAGAGTTTGAACCCTGAGGAGGAATTTGTCAGCATAATTTCTGAACCGAGTAGGAGAGTCATTTAAAAAAAAAAAAAAAAGCTCATTTGGAAGTAACTGCCAATATATTTGGAACTTGTGTTAAAAAGTCCTACTCACTGGCATTCTGACACCGTATTCTATGCACTCAGCTTTTAGCTGTATAGGTTTGCAAACAAAACAATAGCAAATGGGATCGTAAAGTCTTTCTAAATCAAGGGAACATGCAAACATCTGTGTCCCAATTAGACGCATGAATAAGGCCTATAATGTCATTTTCTGAAATCGAGCACTATACTACGTTCTTTACCCATATTATATGAGTTGATCTGCACAGAAGCACCGAGAGACAGGCAGTTCCCACTTCCAGGTGAGAAGTTTCAAGTGACAGATTTGCCCAAACATTTTCTCTGACCTTGGATTCTGCTTAATGTTTAAATACTTGGTTTGTCATCACCCGAAACCAGGGCAATTCTGCCTGTTGGTCATGTGGGCAAAATGATGTGGGCCCAAGTCTCCTGGAGATACAGATGGAATAGTACGTATATTCCTGTCACTCTGTGACCCAGAGCCTGACTTCCGCCATTTTCCCCATTTCTTTCGAGTTCTCCATTTTACAACTTCTCCTTAAAGGCGCACAACTTGTTTTGGTTTAAACTAAAATAGTTGGTTCGGGGAAAATTCCTAATCACTAATGACAATACCTCATGTACTGTTGAAGTTCAGAAAATAAGAGAAAGCTTTTGCTCTACAACCAATGTCCTTACTGTTTACTTCTTGGCCAATGACAGTCCAGGCTGTCTAACACGGGTTGTTTCTGTATGTTCAGTCACACACATTTTCTGCTGCCTACGGTTGTCTTTCCCATTCTTTCTCACAGAAAACCATTTTTTTACAAAATTTCTGAGATCTATCTCAACACTTCAGCACCATCCTTCATGTTTTGTTACAGCCATTACATGTTTGTCTGTTTTTCTTAGACTGTGAGTTCCTCAGAAAAACTGAAATTCGTGAACCATTAGGAACTATTATTAAAAATAGGGCAATGAAGAGACAGAGGTGTCAGATGCAGGTGGGACTTTGCATGTGTTTTTAAGCCAGAGTTCATTTTTGGTGAAACTTCTACCCAACAGTAGAAAAATCAGAAATATTGAAGTTTTTCACTTAAATATGTTCTCTCATAAAGGCTCTGCTTTATTTCAAAGATGTTCTTACTTCTTTCCTTCTTTCCTTCCTCCCTTCCCTCTCTCCCATTCTTCCTTTCTTCTTCCCTCCTTCCCTCCTTCCCATTCTCCTGTCCGTCCTTTCTTCCTCTCTTTCTTTCTTGACAGTCTCTGTGTAGACAGATTGGCCTAAAATTCATAGACACCCACCTGTTTCTACTTCTCCAGTGCTAGTATTAAGAGTATGTGCTACTATGTCCCACAGTTGATAGTCCCTGACTTTAAAGCAAGATCTGCTGACTTTACAGGGCTCTGCAATGAATTCAGAGAGAGAACAAGACCCTGTAAAACCAGGGGCTGAAAATAAAGTCCCCCACCCCTCCCCCATGTCACTAGGTGGATAGAAGCGGAGACCCTGGCGCCTTGCTTTTGTTCTGCTCTGGTTTCCCATGCAGTCTTCTCATTCTCTCCTGAGTAGCTGCATCTTTGCCTTGCCTAGCTCGTTCCTAATGTAGTTCTCATCCCACGGAAATATAATTTTATATCACACACACACACACACACACACACACACACACACACACAATGATGGGAAACCGAATTTTAAGGGGGCAGGTGTGAGAGCCTAACTCCAGAGTCAGACAGTTACGCCTAGCACAGTGTGGTGCAGAGAAGGAGCGGTGATAAGAATGCCATGAAACCAAATCACCGGCCAGCCACTGGGGATCCGCTTTACAAAGCAGAAGGGACACACACGTGCATACATACACACTGACACAGCTAACTAGTGGGCTGCCAGTCTCTTCTGCCCGTGGAGGGAGGGTTACTAGAAAAAAATAACCATGTCCTGGGACCTGTAAAACTCCTTCCACAGGACTGGAGAGATTGCTCTTCCAGAGGTCCTGAGTTCAATTCCCAGCATATGATGCCCTCTGCTGGCATGCAGGCACACATGCAATCAGAGCACCATATACATAATAAACCTAGGAAGGAGAAATCTTGATTTAGGGAGCCATTATGGGGTTAGTAAGAAACCTGGCTCTAGAGAAATTCCCAGGAATTCACAAGGATGACCCCAGCTTAGACCCTGAACAATAGAGGAGAGGGTGCCCGAACTGGCCTTGCCCTGTGGTCAAACTGATGAATATCTTAAATAATCACCATAGAACCTTCATCCAGCAACTGATGGAAACAGAGGCAGAGACCCACGTCGGAGCACTGGACTGAGCTCCCAAAGTCCAGGTGAAGAGAGGGAGGAATGAGAATATGAGCAAAGATGTCAAGACCATGATGGGTTTACCCGCTCAAACAGTCTACCTGAGCTATGGGAGAAGAGGGACACACACCAAAAAATCCCACACTAGCTCAGAATTGAGTATAATAAAAGGTTATTTATTTAGGGGTAGACTTACAGATCCTCTGCTTGAACAGGGAACAGCAACCAAATCCAGCAGCTGGAAAAGAGAGACCATACTCATGATTTACATCAGCATATATAGTATATGAGACCATGCCCAAGTGGGCAGGTAACTTAAAGGCTACTGGATGCAGGAATTCCTACAGCAAATGTGAGTTCACCAACACCAGCCAGACTGGGAAGGAACAAGCATAGGATCAAACCAGTCCCTCTGAATGTGGTTGACAGTTGCAAGACTGGGGCAGACTGAGGGGCTACTGGCAGTGACACCAGGATTTATCCCTACTGCTTTTACTGACTTTTTAAGAACCTATTTTCTTTGGATGGATACTTTGCTCAGCTTAGATATATTAGGGAGGGCCTTGGACCTTCCCCAAAGCAATGTGCCTTACTCTCTCTGAGGAGTGGATGGGGGTGGAGTGGGAGGGTATGTGGAGGGAATGGAAGGAGGGGAGGGAGTGGTAAATTGGATTGGTATGTATAATGAAAAAAGATAGTTTGGTTTCTTTATTTAAAAAAATAATAAATCTTTTAAAACATTCCTTCCACGTGACATATCAAGTTAATAAATCATAAGCAATATAACCCATACGTGGATATGGGGAAAGGTTCCTTCCCCTCTGTTTGGTGGCAGCCATGAGGTAGCCAAGAAGGATTCAAACAAGAACATTTAGGAATTATAGAGGAGGAAGCAGGGGAGATGCCTGGACTTGACATTGGCCAGTTGCAGAAGCCAAAAGACCACAGAATCCTATTGCTATTCTTATGTGCAGCTTGGGGAAGGAGCACAAGGCTCAGCTTCAATGTTACTGCTAATATAAACAGTGCCTGTAAATCATATCTTGAGCAGTTTAGTTTGGACAGCCCCAAAATATCTGTATTGTAGTTACTGCTGCTGCTGATGTAAAAGTGTGCAAACAGGTTGGGAGTTGATTCCTTTATCTGTGTGGGGTGTTGTGTTTCGCCAGTAAAAGACTGACTGGTAATGACTCAGTGCCTAAGAGTGCATGCTGGAGAGATGGCTCAGCTGTTAAAAGCACAGACTGCTCTTCCAGAGGACCCGTGTTTGGTTCCCAGCACCCACATGGAAGCTCATGCAACTGTCTGTAACTCGAGTTATAGGGGATTTGACACCCCCATACATGCAGGGAAAACACCAATGCACATAAATTTTTAAAAAAGTACATGCTCTTACTGAGGATGGATTTCAGTTCCCAGCACCCATGTCAGGTATCTCCCAACCACCTGTAATTCCAGTTATGAAGAATCCAACTCTCTCTTCTGAACTCTGTGAGCAACTGCCCTCATATGCAAACAAATTAGGCTAATAATAAAATTAAAAGGACAGCAAATTAATCCTATAAAAGTTCAGGGCCCTACCTCTTTGATGTTTCAAGGAGTCCGGAAGCCTGGGGCACACTGGGAAATCCTTTCTAAGGAGAAGGGAAGTGGCATCACTTTCCACAATCCACCACAAAGAAATACAGCATGTGACAAGACCACATTTGGGCACATTGCATCTGCTTTCAGTGAACTCCAAGACCAGGACAACTGCAGCATCTGAGCCAGGACGTCCAGCATCACAGGATGTGTGCATGTCACAAAGGTGTTGTTTGCAGACCCCAAACTGCAGAGAAAGCACTGTTGGTTTTGGAAGAAGCCCACACTATCACCATTCTTCATTTGAAAAGCCATTTTTAGCTCATCTATTCCTGATAGAAGTAAAACATCACACGTGGGGACAATAAATGACTAGGCATCCTGAACCATCCATCATAAACCAGCTACTGTAACTAAGAACTGGGCACACTCACCAGTGATCCATTATAAAACAGAAGGAACAATTAGACAACCCTGGTAAGGCCCCCAAATACTCTTTTTTTTTTTAAAAAAAAATATGGAACACTTCACAAATTTGCGTGTCATCCCCGTGCAGGGACCATGTTAATCTTCTCTGCATTGTTCCAATTTCAGTATATGTGCTGCCGAGGTGAGTACCAGAAGTACACCCAAGCTAATGTGTAGACTGTGGCTTGTAGGGAGTTGATGCAGACTCAGAAATACTCCAACGTAAAATACAGTCACTATAGGCATTTCCCATCCAGTTGGAATGGAAAAAAGAAACAGCAGAAGAACAAACCCCACAGCTGTTCCCATCCTCCAGGTGGAAAGCTAGAGCTTGGAACTCCCCTCAGGATGCGTAATAATCTGGGAGACTGCGACTTCTTTCCTGTGCAGCTCCACCTTCCAAGGGTGCAGCGTCCCCAGACGTCCTGTCCTTTCAGTGAGCGGTTGCCCTTTCACGTGTCCCCCACACACCCAGTGACGCTGGACAGCCTGGCTCAGACGCTGCAGTTTGTCCCTGTCTCGGGGTTCACTGAAAGCAGGTGAGTATTATGGGTTTCAGAGCTTGGTGCATTGTGCCTCAATGCAGCCACATGCCATGGAATCTAAGGCGGATGGAAGGTGTACTCCAAGGCCAAAGTATTTCATGACTGGTGTATGTGTTGAAACCTCTGTCATCGGTTGTGGCTTGAATCTGAAATGCCAATTTTGAATGTTTGCCCCCTCGCTGGTGGTGCTGTTTTTGAGAACCTGTGGAGCCTGTAGGAAATAGAGCCTCCCTGGTAGAAGCAATCAAAGGCAAGGGCTTTGAGGGTTACATCTGCCACTGGCTCCTGCCCTGAACTCTGAGGTCTCCACAATGTGTGTCTCATGTCATCAACTGAGTTGCCGTACCATGCTCTCTGTGCGCTGAAGGATGGGGCCCTCGGGAACCATGAACCACAATAAGTCTCCCCTGAAGTCAATTCACTCAGGCTTTGTGGTCACAGCAATGTCAGAAAACCAACAGACCCCGCCAACACTCTTCCCTGACTCCAGCAAGCCGTGCTAACTGAACGGGGGCTCCGCACTGAATGTAGCCAAGCCTTGACATTTCCTTCACATATGATAGAGGAAAGAATTAATTTTGTTTTTTATGTGTGTGGGTATGTTGTCTGCAGGAATGTCTGTGCCTCGTGCATGTGTCTGCTGCCCACGGAGGACAGAAGAGGGCATCAGATTCTCTGGAACTGGAGTTATGTATGGTTGTGAGCTGCCATGTGGTTACTGGGAGAAAACGCAGGTCCTCTGGAAGAGCAGCCAGTGCCCTTAACTACCATCACCCCAGACAAAGAGGAAAGAACTTAGACATGTAAGAGAGGGACATGGGAATGGACTTTTCATGTGTTGCTAACCTAGGCATCACATTCTGACTTTATCTCCCCAGATGGGGCCAGAGAAAAGCATTGGTGAAAGAAGAAGCGTTACTGCCCATACTGCCTTAGTGACCATTTCCTGTGATTGTAGCTTCTACTGGAGAAGCAACATAATGCTATTGGCCTTCTCATCGATGAAGGTGGAAGGATATAGACCCAGAAGAAGCTGCCTAGCAACATTTCATGGCCCAGAGTATCTAGAGGGAAAGTGGCTACCGTTGTCAAAAGCAGCAGGCCTGATACAAAAATGACCCAACTTCAGGATGGAAGCTAATCCAAGGATGCTATTCGGCTGGCAAGGTCTGGAAGGGCATGAACTATGACTGTGTGTGCAAGCTGCTATGGCTTGAGTGACGGATGTCTCCCAAAGGCCCATATGTTGAAGGGCTTGGTCTCTAGGATGGTGCTACTGGCGGGAGGTGGTAGGTCCTTAGGGCCCTGGGAGCATGCTGTCAGATGGGCCCTTCCTGTTACCCTTTGCTTCTTGGGCATGAAATCAACTGTTTTCTGTGCCCTGTGCATCCTGCTGTGACTGTGTTAACAACAATGCCAGAGGCCCTAAAATCTATGGGTTCTTTCAATCAACCTTGTAGTTGGTGAGCTAGAATACTCCTTTCTACTTAGTAGTCAATTATCTCGGAAGTTCTGTGACAGTGCTAGGAAGGGGACCCACGCTTAAACTAGCCATTTAACTTCCTCAGTTCTTAGGTGTTAGCAAAAGACGTGCAACACAGGCCACGTTCACTCATAAGACAGCAGTCAGAACGAACAGGAGCATGCTTGCATTGGTGGCCCTTGTTTTCAAGTCCCAAAGGCTTATGTGAAGAGGTCACTGACATGCTTCAGGTACAGTGGGCATAGCTTAGAATTTCCAGTCTCCTCTAGAGAACCATAAGCTAACTTGGAGGGAGACTTTGTCTCTTCTTACAGCCTTGGTTAGGAAAAGATGTGCTCCCTGCCTGAGGCTGTCTATAAACACCCTTGAAAAGACACTCTAGAATAAAAGTTGTTAGAAATCATGTACCATTGTCCTGGGGAATTGTCTCTCAATACAAATTAAATGGCCCTAACTGGTCACATAACCCAGTGTAAAACTAGGACTATAACTAACTATAAACCATTTTTACCAGTAACTATGCTCTGTACCAGTGTTACACCAATCTCTATTCCTAACCCTAATCATCTGAACTTTAAATTTAATGCTCCCATAGCTCCATTTTAAAGTTTATATCTAATCCTATTTCTAACACCAGCCCAAGTCTAAACCTAACCGTTACTAAAATCCTAGCAGGAATACTAAGGAAAACCTCGCAAATATTAAAAAGAATTAAACTCAAAAGCCAGACTCGTTTTTACCTCTGCCTGTCTCTCTGTCTCTCTCTGTCTCCCCCCCTCCCCACACACACTACAGTGGAAAGATAGAGGGCCAACTCCAGTCAATCTGGCAAAGTTGCTTGCTTGCTCTCTACTCCTTAAGACAGCACATAAACCAAAACCGTTTTAATAAAAGTGAGGCCACATAAGCTTAAAGAAGAGTTGAGAGGCAATCTCAAAGGTGCAGTCCCCTCAGACTTGCCAAAGAAACCATAACAGGGTAAAGAGAAACAGTCATACTTTTTGTTACTGTCCAACAAGTTTTTTGAATGAACACTGATTGCCAAAGAACTTCTGACTAATTCGTTTAGGAGTCCAGATAAAAACAAATGATAAATTAAATCTAGTGAATAGAGAGAGTTCAGTGAGGGACGGTTTACAACAGGTGTCAGCAAGGAGCATAGAAGGCACATGGAGTAGTCGTGTATCGTGTCACTAGAACATGGAGTGAGGCCGGCTGTGTGCAGAGCAGGGACCTGTGCTGGACTTAACCACCGGCAGAGTGGAAACAGGTCTTTCTCCGATCTTTTCCACCCACTCTGGCTCTTGGCTGGTGAGATCTAGTAGAAGCCAGAGGACAAGGGAGCTTGCTTATGGGCCTGGAGCATGGCAGAGAAGGGAAGAGGTTGGGTTTGGCATGTCAAATGGAAGGAACCCTACCCAACCCAGCAAAGCCAAGAGTATTAGAAGTAATCCCTCAACTCCAGTGTTCGGACTCCGTACTGCTTCCGTTACTGGCTAATTGCTTTAGAACTATTCTTATGGGAAGCAATGAACTAGACATCAGGTGTTTGGGACAGAATTTAGCCTACGCTTATACTTCACAGTGATGTTTACTTTTATTCACACTTGTATAAATATCAGTGGTTTACATTTTACTTGCTAGTGTCTTCTGAAATTGATGAAGGCACCACCATCCTCATTCCTGTTTTATCCAGAGAGAATACAGTCTGTTACAATGTTTTAATATGCCCTCATTTGCGTGTGACCACTGAACCAACCTGATGTAGACCTGACCCAATTATCTCAGCCGTCTTCACACTTGAGTCTCATCACCGTGTCGTCATTGAACTGAATGATCATAGACACCGGTAAGAGCACTTTACCTCTGTGGGATGGGCTCAGCTTTGCATAGCTCCTCACCTTGCATAGAAATGTCGGCCTCAAAAACCAGCTGAAAATCACGGGAAGGGTGCTGCTGACCCACTCAAATTCATTAAATTTGAATTTTCGGTTGCACTGTCATGGGCATTTTAAAAAAGTGTGATACGACGTGACAGGTGTCCTGAAATCAGGGCCGTGTGTCTCTGGAGTAGCAAATGGGTGACAATCTCTAGATCTGAAGTTTACAGGAACACTGAGTCAACCGCATTGCTGTGAGGCGAGAGCCATATCTGTGCCTCATGCGTTGAGAGAGAGAGAGACAGAGAGACAGAGAGACAGAGAGACAGAGACAGAGAGAGAGAGAGAGAGAGACGGAGAGGGAGAGAGAGTGGAGAGGGAGAGAGCAAATTTTGACCTTGATAGTTAGTTGACTTTTGTGCAAGAATAGGTAATACCCAAGAAAGCTTGGCGGCCTAGTTTCTTTCCAATAATAATTAATCTCTAATATTTCTAATAAGGAGCTCTTGTTATATTATTACATATTGCTTTATTTATATATTGTGTTTATTCAGGATTTAAAGAATTTTAGCTTTGGGAAGAGACTGTAGTTTTCGTAACCAGTTTATTTTAAGGTTGGGAAATTTAATTTTTTTTTTTAGTCTGTGTGTGTGTGTGTGTGTGTGTGCGCACGCGTGTATACCATTTTTTTTTTTCTGAGACAAGGTTTCTCTGTAGCTTTGGAGCCTTTCTGGAACTCGCTCTGTAGACCAGGCTGGTTGTGAACTCACAGAGATTAAAGGCATGTACAACCACTGCTGACATGTATACCAAGTCTTAAAGACTTGTTTAGGGGCTGGGTAGCTAGCTGGGTGGGTAATGGGCTCTTATGTGAGATGAGAGAACAGGCAGCAGAATCTCCAGAAGTTTGGGGACCAGGTAGCCTGGCACTCGGGATGCACAGAGCAAGAAGCCCTTCCTCACACAGGTGGGAAGTAGGACCGGAGAGAAGGATTAGTAGTGACTGGTATAGACTGGCATAAATATTGGTAATGTTCTATGTCCATAGTCTACCCTGTGAGCCAGAGTTTAACGGACTGGGGCTGTGACAGGCAAATCCATTTTTATTCATACTGGCGTGGCGTATCCTGGCATGCACAGTGTTTGATAAATACATTTAAAGAGGAATATAAGAACTTCCAAGACTGTGCTCCATTTCCCCTGACTTTTCTTTCTGATACAAAGCTCTTGATTCTAAAGTAGTGTCAACATTACTGCTGGTATGAAATACGGAACTGTGCTAAGGTAAATGTACCTAAGAGTGATCACACAGTTTTCTGTACACAAGAAATTTATTCAGAACTGGAGAGATGGCTCAGTGGTTAAGAGCACTGACTGCTTTCTTCCAGAAGACTTGGGTTCAATTCCCAGCACCCACAAATGTCTCTAATTCCAATCCCAGTGGATACAACACCCTCACACAGACATACTTGCAAACAAAACATCAATGCACATAAAAATAAATTCTAAAAAAATGAAAAGAAAAGAAAAATTCGAAGTGAATTATGTTCTATGAATGGTTCTGGATATAGCAGGCCAGAGATGAGCTTGAATGAGATTTAGAACGAGGGAGGAGGCAAGACAGTTACTCTCAGGTCACCATGGTTAGAATGGCAGGTAGGCCTCTAACTGTTCCTGCATTCTCCTCCTCCTCTTCTTCTTCGACAGGGTTTCTCTGTGTAGCCCTGGCTGCCCTGGAACTCACTCTGTAGACCA